ACTTAAGTTTTCTTACACGAATATGCTACTGAATCCTCAATGAAGAAATTACTCGGTAACTACTTGAAATAATTATTTATTTAAAGATACAAATATGGAAATCATTAACCTATGCACGAAAATATTGAACATTGTGACTACTGACAGAAAATCTCGACAGCAAACCTACCCTCCAGCAAATGGGGACTTAACACTGCAGTTTCCGATCGAGAATGAAGACCAGTTAGAGATGCTGGAAGCATCTTTAAGAGACGACAAGTACAAACAGCAATATGTGAGTTGACGCATTTAATTCTTATTTTTTGTAGACTGCTAAGATGGCTAGCTGCCTTCAGAGTGATCCAAAGTTATCACTTAAGGTCATGATGCACCATGTTATAAAACCTGAATTGGGTTTGCAGTTTACATTCCAGGGGACTTTGACAAAGTCAAGCATTGTGCCTTATGCCTTTTATAAAATAATGAGAAGTAAGTTTCATTAATGAAGTAATTAGTTCTCTAGCTTTAATTATGTCGCACTTCTCCGGCCAACTAATGACGACAAGAGAGATTGGTGAAATGATGGATAGGGCCACGAAATCGTATTTTCATAATTTGAAAGATCGTGTCCAGAGGCGTAAGCGGAAGCAAGGAATTCAGGTAATATTGCGAAACACCTGCTTACTTCTATAAGTGAACGTTTGTTCAACATGTAGTAATCACAATATTGTTTTCATTTTTAGGTAAATGAAAAAGATACCGGGCGATTTAACAGTGGCAATTATGTAAATAAACTTCTATAAATGTAAATGCTCAGAATGTGCTGAGCACAATTTTTCACCCAATAATATTTTATTCTGCTTATTTGCAGGATGCTGCCAGTGGATAGCACTTGAAGGGATTGCAGTGATGTTGTACTAGAGTATATAAATACAAATCTGTCAATTATAAAAACTGATTTATTCTGCAAAATAATGAAATTCGCTGGTGCACGACACGGGTGATGATAATTAATAGAATTAATTTCGCTCTCAATTAGTGCTAGTCGATGCTGAAAATGATCTGCGAAGGCTTGAATTAGGCTGAAAAAATTGCCACTATGTGCTGAATTAAGTCTTTTCGTTCTGAATTAGTGCTAGTCGATGCTGAAAATGATCTGCGAAGGCTTGAATTAGGCTGAAAAAATTGCCACTATGTGCTGAATTAAGTCTTTTCGTTCTGAATTAGTGCTAGTCGATGCTGAAAATGATCTCCGAAGGCTTGAATTAGGCTGAAAAAATTGCCACTATGTGCTGAATTAAGTCTTTTCGTTCTGAATTAGTGCTAGTCGATGCTGAAAATGATCTCCGAAGGCTTGAATTAGGCTGAAAAAATTGCCACTATGTGCTGAATTAAGTCTTTTCGTTCTGAATTAGTGCTAGTCGATGCTGAAAATGATCTGCGAAGGCTTGAATTAGGCTGAAAAAATTGCCACTATGTGCTGAATTAAGTCTTTTCGTTCTGAATTAGTGCTAGTCGATGCTGAAAATGATCTCCGAAGGCTTGAATTAGGCTGAAAAAATTGCCACTATGTGCTGAATTAAGTCTTTTCGTTCTGAATTAGTGCTAGTCGATGCTGAAAATGATCTCCGAAGGCTTGAATTAGGCTGAAAAAATTGCCACTATGTGCTGAATTAAGTCTTTTCGTTCTGAATTAGTGCTAGTCGATGCTGAAAATGATCTGCGAAGGCTTGAATTAGGCTGAAAAAATTGCCACTATGTGCTGAATTAAGTCTTTTCGTTCTGAATTAGTGCTAGTCGATGCTGAAAATGATCTCCGAAGGCTTGAATTAGGCTGAAAAAATTGCCACTATGTGCTGAATTAAGTCTTTTCGTTCTGAATTAGTGCTAGTCGATGCTGAAAATGATCTCCGAAGGCTTGAATTAGGCTGAAAAAATTGCCACTATGTGCTGAATTAAGTCTTTTCGTTCTGAATTAGTGCTAGTCGATGCTGAAAATGATCTCCGAAGGCTTGAATTAGGCTGAAAAAATTGCCACTATGTGCTGAATTAAGTCTTTTCGTTCTGAATTAGTGCTAGTCGATGCTGAAAATGATCTCCGAAGGCTTGAATTAGGCTGAAAAAATTGCCACTATGTGCTGAATTAAGTCTTTTCGTTCTGAATTAGTGCTAGTCGATGCTGAAAATGATCTCCGAAGGCTTGAATTAGGCTGAAAAAATTGCCACTATGTGCTGAATTAAGTCTTTTCGTTCTGAATTAGTGCTAGTCGATGCTGAAAATGATCTGCGAAGGCTTGAATTAGGCTGAAAAAATTGCCACTATGTGCTGAATTAAGTCTTTTCGTTCTGAATTAGTGCTAGTCGATGCTGAAAATGATCTCCGAAGGCTTGAATTAGGCTGAAAAAATTGCCACTATGTGCTGAATTAAGTCTTTTCGTTCTGAATTAGTGCTAGTCGATGCTGAAAATGATCTCCGAAGGCTTGAATTAGGCTGAAAAAATTGCCACTATGTGCTGAATTAAGTCTTTTCGTTCTGAATTAGTGCTAGTCGATGCTGAAAATGATCTCCGAAGGCTTGAATTAGGCTGAAAAAATTGCCACTATGTGCTGAATTAAGTCTTTTCGTTCTGAATTAGTGCTAGTCGATGCTGAAAATGATCTCCGAAGGCTTGAATTAGGCTGAAAAAATTGCCACTATGTGCTGAATTAAGTCTTTTCGTTCTGAATTAGTGCTAGTCGATGCTGAAAATGATCTCCGAAGGCTTGAATTAGGCTGAAAAAATTGCCACTATGTGCTGAATTAAGTCTTTTCGTTCTGAATTAGTGCTAGTCGATGCTGAAAATGATCTCCGAAGGCTTGAATTAGGCTGAAAAAATTGCCACTATGTGCTGAATTAAGTCTTTTCGTTCTGAATTAGTGCTAGTCGATGCTGAAAATGATCTCCGAAGGCTTGAATTAGGCTGAAAAAATTGCCACTATGTGCTGAATTAAGTCTTTTCGTTCTGAATTAGTGCTAGTCGATGCTGAAAATGATCTCCGAAGGCTTGAATTAGGCTGAAAAAATTGCCACTATGTGCTGAATTAAGTCTTTTCGTTCTGAATTAGTGCTAGTCGATGCTGAAAATGATCTCCGAAGGCTTGAATTAGGCTGAAAAAATTGCCACTATGTGCTGAATTAAGTCTTTTCGTTCTGAATTAGTGCTAGTCGATGCTGAAAATGATCTCCGAAGGCTTGAATTAGGCTGAAAAAATTGCCACTATGTGCTGAATTAAGTCTTTTCGTTCTGAATTAGTGCTAGTCGATGCTGAAAATGATCTCCGAAGGCTTGAATTAGGCTGAAAAAATTGCCACTATGTGCTGAATTAAGTCTTTTCGTTCTGAATTAGTGCTAGTCGATGCTGAAAATGATCTCCGAAGGCTTGAATTAGGCTGAAAAAATTGCCACTATGTGCTGAATTAAGTCTTTTCGTTCTGAATTAGTGCTAGTCGATGCTGAAAATGATCTCCGAAGGCTTGAATTAGGCTGAAAAAATTGCCACTATGTGCTGAATTAAGTCTTTTCGTTCTGAATTAGTGCTAGTCGATGCTGAAAATGATCTCCGAAGGCTTGAATTAGGCTGAAAAAATTGCCACTATGTGCTGAATTAAGTCTTTTCGTTCTGAATTAGTGCTAGTCGATGCTGAAAATGATCTGCGAAGGCTTGAATTAGGCTGAAAAAATTGCCACTATGTGCTGAATTAAGTCTTTTCGTTCTGAATTAGTGCTAGTCGATGCTGAAAATGATCTCCGAAGGCTTGAATTAGGCTGAAAAAATTGCCACTATGTGCTGAATTAAGTCTTTTCGTTCTGAATTAGTGCTAGTCGATGCTGAAAATGATCTCCGAAGGCTTGAATTAGGCTGAAAAAATTGCCACTATGTGCTGAATTAAGTCTTTTCGTTCTGAATTAGTGCTAGTCGATGCTGAAAATGATCTGCGAAGGCTTGAATTAGGCTGAAAAAATTGCCACTATGTGCTGAATTAAGTCTTTTCGTTCTGAATTAGTGCTAGTCGATGCTGAAAATGATCTCCGAAGGCTTGAATTAGGCTGAAAAAATTGCCACTATGTGCTGAATTAAGTCTTTTCGTTCTGAATTAGTGCTAGTCGATGCTGAAAATGATCTCCGAAGGCTTGAATTAGGCTGAAAAAATTGCCACTATGTGCTGAATTAAGTCTTTTCGTTCTGAATTAGTGCTAGTCGATGCTGAAAATGATCTGCGAAGGCTTGAATTAGGCTGAAAAAATTGCCACTATGTGCTGAATTAAGTCTTTTCGTTCTGAATTAGTGCTAGTCGATGCTGAAAATGATCTGCGAAGGCTTGAATTAGGCTGAAAAAATTGCCACTATGTGCTGAATTAAGTCTTTTCGTTCTGAATTAGTGCTAGTCGATGCTGAAAATGATCTGCGAAGGCTTGAATTAGGCTGAAAAAATTGCCACTATGTGCTGAATTAAGTCTTTTCGTTCTGAATTAGTGCTAGTCGATGCTGAAAATGATCTCCGAAGGCTTGAATTAGGCTGAAAAAATTGCCACTATGTGCTGAATTAAGTCTTTTCGTTCTGAATTAGTGCTAGTCGATGCTGAAAATGATCTCCGAAGGCTTGAATTAGGCTGAAAAAATTGCCACTATGTGCTGAATTAAGTCTTTTCGTTCTGAATTAGTGCTAGTCGATGCTGAAAATGATCTGCCGAAGGCTTGAATTAGGCTGAAAAAATTGCCACTATGTGCTGAATTAAGTCTTTTCGTTCTGAATTAGTGCTAGTCGATGCTGAAAATGATCTCCGAAGGCTTGAATTAGGCTGAAAAAATTGCCACTATGTGCTGAATTAAGTCTTTTCGTTCTGAATTAGTGCTAGTCGATGCTGAAAATGATCTCCGAAGGCTTGAATTAGGCTGAAAAAATTGCCACTATGTGCTGAATTAAGTCTTTTCGTTCTGAATTAGTGCTAGTCGATGCTGAAAATGATCTCCGAAGGCTTGAATTAGGCTGAAAAAATTGCCACTATGTGCTGAATTAAGTCTTTTCGTTCTGAATTAGTGCTAGTCGATGCTGAAAATGATCTCCGAAGGCTTGAATTAGGCTGAAAAAATTGCCACTATGTGCTGAATTAAGTCTTTTCGTTCTGAATTAGTGCTAGTCGATGCTGAAAATGATCTCCGAAGGCTTGAATTAGGCTGAAAAAATTGCCACTATGTGCTGAATTAAGTCTTTTCGTTCTGAATTAGTGCTAGTCGATGCTGAAAATGATCTCCGAAGGCTTGAATTAGGCTGAAAAAATTGCCACTATGTGCTGAATTAAGTCTTTTCGTTCTGAATTAGTGCTAGTCGATGCTGAAAATGATCTGCGAAGGCTTGAATTAGGCTGAAAAAATTGCCACTATGTGCTGAATTAAGTCTTTTCGTTCTGAATTAGTGCTAGTCGATGCTGAAAATGATCTCCGAAGGCTTGAATTAGGCTGAAAAAATTGCCACTATGTGCTGAATTAAGTCTTTTCGTTCTGAATTAGTGCTAGTCGATGCTGAAAATGATCTCCGAAGGCTTGAATTAGGCTGAAAAAATTGCCACTATGTGCTGAATTAAGTCTTTTCGTTCTGAATTAGTGCTAGTCGATGCTGAAAATGATCTCCGAAGGCTTGAATTAGGCTGAAAAAATTGCCACTATGTGCTGAATTAAGTCTTTTCGTTCTGAATTAGTGCTAGTCGATGCTGAAAATGATCTCCGAAGGCTTGAATTAGGCTGAAAAAATTGCCACTATGTGCTGAATTAAGTCTTTTCGTTCTGAATTAGTGCTAGTCGATGCTGAAAATGATCTCCGAAGGCTTGAATTAGGCTGAAAAAATTGCCACTATGTGCTGAATTAAGTCTTTTCGTTCTGAATTAGTGCTAGTCGATGCT